CTCTGGTAGTCTGAAACCCACTCAAAACAGTCCCTGAGAAAAAGGTTAGTGGGTGACTGCATCTATAAAAGCTGAAATACACTTTTTATGTGGATTTTTCTTTCAATATTTTTCATTTTGGACAGAGTAAGGGAGGGTTATAACCAAGTCATTTTTTTTTTGCCATCTGTGTCCCATTGGGGAGATATACCTTCAATTCCTGTCCCATAGCCAAACAGGAAGTGAGAGGATATCTCTGCAAATTAAGGAATCCATTGGGGCCCCCAGGTCACCAAAACTAGTATCCTGATTGGAAGATTCCCATTTCATTAGTTATCTTTACCTACACTTTCAATGATGATGGTTAACAAGACAAATGGAGAGGGTACATCTCCCTAATGAGGACACAGACAACAATAAAAACCTAATAAGTCTTCTAATCCATCTTCACGCTGTTCAAAACAAAAAAAAAAAAGGTTTTGCTTTTAGTTATACCTTAATGTATTTTCAAACATGATGCAAAAAAGAAAAAAAATGCAAGCCCTGAAGAAACCCCCTGGATTGCTTTATGATAGGGAGGTTGTGCTTATAGAGGGCATTCTATTAATCTGAATAATTATAATTTAGATACAATCACAAGTGTTAGTATATTACAATGAAAACAAAAACATGCTTAAAAGTCTACATATGGTACTTCACTGATATCTTTCTTGCAGCTGAAGTTTTCCTCCTGCCATATTTCTCTCTTGCGCCACATTTTTGATCCTGGAGTACTGGGAGCTGGATTTTACTGCCATCTTTTCACAACTATCCCCCTAATAATGCAGCATTGGACTCCTTGTATGTGGAGATCTGTCATTTTAGTTACTCGTTGCCATGGTATCATCAATATCAGTGGATGTTACAGCATTCTCAATGCAGAGTGCTGCTCCAATTCCCATCCAGCCACTTTGGTCTGGGATGAGAAGGTGCTGGCCACAGGAGCTTGTTTCTGCTTTTATGCATTGCAAGTCAATAAAAGAGAGGTTGCAAACAAATGATATCAAACCTCAAAAAAGTCATTAATCCCAATCTGGGTGAAATGCATCAGAGGGGTGTGGCTACAGGTGAGTAGTCAGTGCACATACTGTATCCTGAATAGGTTTTTGGCAGACTGACATCATTAGTGTGTAGACTTTCTTGTATCAACATCAGTGGATGATAACATTATGATGCTATGCCAACAAAAACTCAAGCTATAATGATATTAGATAAATCTTGAGAGAACTTGAGTTCATGCCTGCCAACTTCTAGGAAATATGATGTGGATATCCCTGGAGACTGCAGGCAGCACAGGATATGAGAAGCAGGACACTGGAAGAGCTTAAAAATTATATTTAGCAAAAACAAAAAAAAGATAAAAAAAACTAGTGTTTCCTTTTTTCTGTTGATATATTCTTTTATTTAAAGCTTATAAAATTGTATATTGCAAGGAAGACATGTATACGTATATATTGAAAAGAACAATATCATATGAATAAATGAGTAAGAAAAAAAAAATAATTAACAGTATTAATAATGAAATAAAATTCCATAATGTTATTTTATTATCTTTTAATATGTTTTATATATATTATATTTTATTATGTTAATTTATTTAATTGTGTTATCTTTAAAACTGCATCTATACAAAGAGAGCAGGAATGTAATGATTTAAAGTTATAAAAATAGGTAAGGGTCTGCTCTACAATGATAGCAGAGTAATCATTCTCAACTTGCAAAGAGCTGTTGTCCTTTTTTTTAATTATATTTTCCTTAAGTAAATAGGCAGTTCTGGAGTCCTGACTTCACTAGCTGCTTTTACTGGAACAGTGACTCAGTAAGTAGTGAAGCATAGGTAAAAAAACAGCAGACCCACAGTTTGTACCTTTAAGAACTAAGCTGGAAATAAAAGCTCACACGTTAAAGGCTAACCTGCAGCCTCTAAAAATGCCAACATGACCTCTGAAAATGCCAACGTGTTACCTTTCAGCTGGCTATCCACTAGTAGATTTTCAAACAAATATTTGTATGAAAGTTCTGAGTATATCTGATGACTTGATAAATGTGGTTGGAAAGTACTTCAAAGTATTATTTGCTTTCAACATTCAATTTAGGAACAAATTGACTTACCCGATTAAAAAATCACATACAATGTTTGTCCATCCTGCTCCTTCGAATTTTCTTGTCACGAAAAACGAACTTCAATTTGGCCCCCACTAAGGGTTAGAAAAATCAAACAAACATTTGTAAAACTTAGAGTTGCCAATGACATTTTATTAGAGTATGGCCAGCTTTACATACTGCTCCTGGAAGGCAGATTGCTCATGTAGCTCTGTGCAAAGCATGTCTCCAATCTTCATACAGCTCTGTGTTGGTCAAGAATACCTTGTTTACAGCAAAGATGTCTGAAAACACAAGCTTAGACATGCTGTAGTTGTATATTAAAGGTGCTTTAATGTACAACAGAAACTCTTCATTCATAGTGTGTTCAGTTGTTGAACTACCAAACGAGCTCCAGTACGCACAAAAACGTTTATGATGCATCTTCTCTTCCACTTACAAATGTGTACTCTTTTGCTGCATAAAAAATACCTTACCATGTTGACCCACCCATAAGACTTACTGTATAACTGGATCCTATTACATGGTCATTAGCATAGAAATTATTCAGTCCTTCAATCCTTGGAATTTTTTTTTTTAATATTGTGTCAAGTGTTACCAAGTAGATTTAGTAGAGCTATTCCTTATCAACATATGTGGGCACCCCATTATCTTTCCTGAGTCCTGTTTCTTTCAATCTGCTAGATTACATAGAGTACATTTTAGGTGCACTCATGGAGTTGGTCAATAAAAGAGAAATTGACAGGTACAGATAGTTCTAAACAAAATCACAGGCACAGAACCACAAAACAAGGTCTAAGTTTGAAATAGGAACATGATAAAGACATAGGTTTGATGGACATACTGGAGCAGAAACAAAGAAACAGCATGCCAGGTGTGTGAACAGAGAGAGCAGGCACAGGCAGTGACTATGATTATGAAACAGCCACTGTGTACTTGCATTTTCTATTATTAAAAAGGAAAGAATTTTATCCGTAAGTAGCTGAATTATTACATATATATACACATTTTCCTAAAAAATGTCCACGTTACCCCAAAAGAGCAGATAAAGGGAGAGAAGAAAATGACCACAAAATTAAAGTTGTTGTGGCCAATTAGGTTGTCCTTTTATTTTATACTAAAATTAAAGATAAGCTCCAAGCAGACATAAATGGAATACATTAATGCAGTTCTGTAATCATTAAACCACCACCAAATTTATTTTATAACTTAAAGCCATGTAAGTACCCAGATGTGACTGGGTAACATCTTCTAGCAGCCTACTGAACAGCCTGTACAGCAGAGCTCACAGAAAGCAGCAACAAGCATCACAAGGAGCCAGTCAGGTGTGTTACAGCAAAATGATCATGCTGGTATGAGGAGAGATCAGATTGAAAGAGATGAGGTCATTCGTGCACTGATTCTTCTCTATGAAGTCACAGGGTGGCTAAGTTCACTGCTTGAACCAGCTGCTGACAGGTTCTCGTGCAAACCAGCTTCAATAACATCCAACTTTTGATTGATCATTGAGTCTACATCCACAGTTTTATTTTTCAAGCCCTTAAAAAAGGGGCAGATGTAAAGGACTTGAATATTAGTGTGGTACTTCAATCGCTTATTCACTCATCTCTACAACAACTTGAGGTGATCATGGTGATCATGGAAGCCTTACGTTAGGTAGAAGCTACCAGCCCAAGTTTTCAGAATCACTACATGTACGCTAATTATGGATGACAACAATAATATGAAGTAATAGAATAATATAAAATAAACATATAAAGAATCTCCATGGTTACACAGTCTCTTACACACTTTCTGAAATAGTCACAACATGGGGGTAGGAATAAGACCTGTAAATAAAATTTAAACTACAGCAGAAAAAGGTTGGATACCCTCCCCTGATAGACAAGGCTGTGGTCTGGGGAAATATATGCACAGTATTTTTCTATCTATATATTTAGTTATTTGCCGAGAGTTTGACTTTAACCACTTGCCGCCCACCCACAGTACATTTTTACATTTACTGCATGGGGTGGACAGCACAGCCAAGTCCTGGGGTGCACAGTGGTGTAATCCCATGACTGCGCTTTGTACCCCCCACTATGAACGGCTGGGGTATCATATGGATGCTATGAGCATTCATAGCAATCATATGATATTTATGTAAGCAAACTGTCATGAATTGATTTCCATTTGACAGCTTGATTACTGTACAGGTGCATCTCAATAAATTAGATAATCAAAAAGTTAATTTCAGTAATTCAATTCAAAAAGTGAAATCCTATATTATATAGATTCATTACACACTGAGTGATACACTATATTGCCACAAGTATTGGGATGCCTGCGTTTCCACGCACATGAACTTTAATAGCATCCTAGTCTTAATATGTAGGGTTCAATATTGAGTTGGCCCACCCTTTGCAGCTATAAGAGTTCCAACTCTTCTGGAAAGGCTGTCCACAAGCGTATTTGTGAGGTCAGGCACTGATGACGGACAAGAAAGCCTGGCTCGCAGTCTCTGCTGTATTTCATCCCAAAGGTGTTCTATTGGGTTGAGGTCAGGACTCTGTGCAGGCCAGTAAAGTTCCTCCACCCCACACTTGCTCATCCATGTATTTGTGGACCTTGCTTTGTGCACTGGGGCGCAGTCATGTTGGAACAGTAAGGTGCCATCCCCAAGTTGTTCCCACAAAGTTGGGAGCATGAAGTTGTCTAAAATGTCTTGGTATGCTGATGCCTTAAGAGTTTCCTTTACTGGAACTAAGGGATCAAGGCCAACCCCTAAAAAACAACCCCATACCATAATCTCCCTGGCAACCACCAAACCCAGACACATCTACTGGATTGCCAGACAGAGAAGCGTGATTTGTTAATCCAGGGAACATGTCTCCACTGCTCTAGAGCCCAGTGGTGGCATGCTTTATCCCACTGCATCTGACACTTTGCTTTGCACTTGGAGATGTAAGGCTTGGATGCAGCTGCTCGGCCATAGAAACAGATTAAATGAAGCTCCCTAGCACTGTTGTGCTAATCTGAAGGCCACATGAAGTTTGGAGGTCTATAGCTACTGACTCTGCAGAGTGTTGGTGACTTCTGTGCACTGTGCGCTTCAGCATGCGCTGACCCCGCTCTGCCAATTTACATGGCCTACCACTTTGTGGCTGAGCTGCTGTTGTTCCCAGTTGCTTCCACTTTGTTATAATACCACTAACAGTTGACCGTGGAGTATTTAGTAGCAAGGAAATTTTACAGGTGGACTTATTGCACAGGTGGCAACCTTTCACGGTACCACGCTTGAATTCACTGAGCTCCTGAAAGCGACTCATTCTTTCACAAATGTTTGTAGAAGCAGTCTGCAGTACTTGATTTTATACACATGTAATCATGGAGATAATTGGAACACCTGAATCCAATGATTTGGAGAGGTGTTCCAATACTTTTGGCAGTATAGTGTATATTTCAAGCATTTCCTTCTTTTAATTTTGATGATTATGGCATACAGCTGGTGAAAAGTAGGATGAAAATAAGAATTCCAAACCGGCAAAAAGTGTATGTGCAGAGTTCCTCTATTTCTGACAGTTCTCTGACAGCTTCTTCACATGTACAGCGGTTGAAACATCTGTATCCTAAATGGAAACTAATAGATACAATGTTTCAACCACTGTACATGTGAAGGAACTGTCAGAGAAATGTCAGAAATAGCGGAGCTCTCTGCAGGGACACTTTTGCCGGCTGATCGGGAAAAATCCGATTCGCGCACCCGAAGTAGGCAAATATTCGGATTCGACGCGAATCGAATTTTTCCTGAAATTCGTATCGAATTCCGGTTCGCCTGGTTCGATTCGCTCATCTCTACATAAGACCAATAAAAAAAAGGATTTTTAATACAGAAATGTTGGCTTACTGAAAAGTATGCCCATGTACAGTATAGTATGCACTCAATACTTGGTCAGGGCTCCTTTTGCATTAATTACTGCATCAATGTGGTGTGGCATGGAAGCGATCAGCCTGTGGCACTGCTGAGGTGCTTATGGAAGCCCAGGTTGCTTTGATAGCAGCCTTCAGCTGGTCTGCATTGTTGGGTCTGGTGTCTTTCATCTTCCTCTTGACAGTACCCCACAGATTCTCTATTAGGTTTAGGTCAGGCGAGTTTGCTGGCCAATCATGCACAGTGATACCATGATCATTAAATCAGGTATTGGTACTTTTAGAAGTGTGGGCAGGTGCCAAGCCCTGCTGGAAAATGACATCAGCATCTCCATAAAGCTGGTCAGCAGAGGGAAGCATGAAATGTTCTAGAATTTCCTGGTAGAGGGCTGCGCTGACTTTGGACAAACAAGTAGACCAACACCTGTCAATGGCATGGCTCCCAAAATCACCACTGACTGTGGAAACCTCAAACTGGACCTTATGCAGTTTGGATTATGTGCCTCTCCACTCTTCCTCTAGACTCTGGGACCTTTATTTCCAAATGAAATGCAAAATTTACATTGTACCACTTGGCAACAGTTCAGTTCTTTTTCTCCTTAGCCCAGGTAAGACACTTCTGACGTTTCCTCTGGTGCAGGAGTGGCTTGACACAGGGAATGTGACAGTTGTAGCCCATGTCCTGGATATGTCTGTGTGTGTGTGTGTGGAGGCTCTTGAAGCACTGACACCAGTCATAGTCCACTCCTAGTGAATCTCCTCCAAATTCTTGAATGGCCTTTGCTTTACAATCAAGGCTGTGGTTATCCCTGTTGCTTGTGCACCTTTTTCTACCACACTTTTCCTTCCACTCAACTTTCCATTACTATACTTGGATACAGCACTCTGTGAACAGCCAGCTTCTTTAGCAATGACCTTTTGTGACTTATCCTCCTTGTGGAAAGTGTCAATGACTGTCTTCTGGACAACTGTCAAGTCAGCAGTCTTCCCCATGATTGTGTAACCTACTGAACCAGACTGAGAGACCATTTAAAGGCTCAGGAAACCTTTACAGGTATTTTGAGTTAATATCTACAATACTGAACTTTTTCACAAAATTTAGATTTTCTGAGATACTGAATTTTGGGTTTTCACTAGCTGTAATTGTTAGAAAGAAATGCCTGAAATATATCACTTGGTGTTTAAAGACTCTATATAATATATGAATTTCACTTTTTGAATTGAATTACTGAAAAAACTTACTTTTTGATAATATTTCAATTTATTGAGATGCACTTGTATAGGTATTTCTTCCCCACTTGTGGGGAAAACAAGAACTTCATGTCCACAAAGTAAACCTGCAGAATTTCATCCAAACTGCTGGTAATAATGGTACCCCCCTAAATAACATAGATAACATTTCTATAGCCTTTTTTCAGATGGTTTCTCTGCTACTTTTGAAAGCTTGCCCATGTATGTCTGTGTACTAGACTCAAATAATGTATCCCCTACAACCATGCAATCGAATAATTCAGCTATTTTTATTAGAAACCCTTATAATGTGAAAAGCAACTGTAACTAAAAAAAAAAAAAATTACACCCACGTATACAATGAGTACTAAGCCCCGGTTAACACTAATGTAACTTTAAAGTCCAACTATGCTGAATGACTTGCTGCCACTTCAAGCAACTTCAATCATACAGCTCAATGCAAGTCACAAGCAAGTTGCACAAAAGAGGTGCAGGAACCTTTTTAAAGGTTGCAACTTGAGTTACAGATAGTAGAAAGGGGCCGTAGTCATTCATTGGATGTGACTTATCATGTGACTTCGAAGTGGCAAGTTGCATTGGTGTGAACCAGAGCTAAAAACACAAATATTTGCTACAAATTGTATATAATGTTGCAGAGTCCACAAACATTCTGTTTAACTGTGTTTCACTCACCACACAAAAAATGTTCTTGGAAATGGATCTACTACAATTAAACAGGTAAATTGTACACAGCACAACACCTGTTTTGAAATCCACATCAAATGTAGATTGTAAGCCCCAAGGAGCAGGGCCCTCAAATCCCTCTTGTATTGAACTCTATTGTTGCTGTATTGTCTCCCGTTATATTGTAAAGCGCTGAGCAAACTGTTGGCGCTATATAAATCCTGTATATTAATAATGATAATAATAATAATAAATGTGTTCCAACTGTGTTATCATTCACCAGATGGGATTGACTTCAAATTGTAAAGGTCAGATACACATTTTCACAATCATCTCAAGATCTTCTATAGGAAATACCCAATTATTTACTAAAAGATCACCTTTCCATTGCTCCAACGCCATTTTCATACATTCTTTAATTGTAGGAAGTGTCAGAAGCAGCTACCACTCCTGATGCATCACTGCTTCTGGTCTTATAACAGCATCCTGGTTTTGACTGTGGCACATTCTTCCAGTCTGTCTGTCTACCTGCAAGGTGATTGATGTGGGCAGTCTCTCGGTACACTTGAAAACTTGATTTAAGCCAGCCAAGCCTGCAATCTCATGTTTGTGATAGCACTGGTTACATGTGCCCAAGCTCCCTGTTTGTCTGCTCTGCTCTGCTCTGCTAGTTTGGATTCCCTTGTTGATGACCTTGCATTGGATATTGACTACTCTCTGAACTCTGCCTGCCTTTTGACTACAGATCTGACTGTGACTATCCTAAACCTTGCCTTGTACCTAGACTGTTATTGAACCACTCCGCCTGTCTGCCAACTGCAAGTACCTTTTTGCTGTGCTTAGTTCATGCCTTCCTCCAGTATGGTAGCCAGGCACTAAAGAATTGTGTATAAATCCTGGGGGCAACCGAGTACCAGTAGGCCTGCTTGCCTTATGGGATAGGTGGCTGCTATAGGTGAAGCTTGTTATAGTGTCTGACCACCTGCGTTAGAGGCAAGCATGATAGGAAGGATATAAGCAGAACGTACAATCCAATAATGTAATACTGCTTTTAAAAATAATAATAAACATAATAATAAACAACATGCAATTATGGAAAGAATGTCATCCGCATAGGGTTCCTACATCCCTACACAACATGAAAGCACCAGCCACCTTGACGTCTAAGAGCAGGCTCATCTTTATGTGTAAGTGGGTATAATATGTATTGGACTCATTATAGTGTGATGATAGAAGCCAGTAAAATATATCTAAAGGCAACATTTTTTTTTTAGATTTGGATAGAGAGGAGAGGGATTAGAACACTGGTCAGTTTTCATAACAGTCTGTACCCACATTAAGGAGATTTATCCTCTCTATTTTCCCTGTTTATCATTATCAGTGAAAGTAAAGTAATAGAGGGGAACTCAAGAGGAAATATTCCCATGGGGACACTAGTTCTGGTGACTTGGGGCTCCCAATGGATTCCTTAATTTGCAAGGATGTCCTCTCACTTCTTGTTTAGCTATGAGACAGAAAAATCTCAGCAATGAGACACAGATGGTGAAACAGAATCCGACAGTGGTGCTAACCCTCCCTTATTTTATCCAAAATTAAAAAAAAAATTGCCTATAGTTCTACTTTAAATGCATTTTCTGGATATAGATTAGATTAGGAGCAATTTATGGAGAAGATTTGTTTGAGCTGCACCATGGTGTCAGCTATGGAGATTTTTGTCCTTACTGGAAGGTGAAATAATGACAAAGGGAACAATCCTCAGAAAAATGATGTGATATGGTAATCACTTTCAGCCAGTACCTGATAATGATTGTAAAAATGTAACCCAGAGATAAAGGTTAAATATCTCATCGAAAATGTGTGCAGCAAGTCATTCCACTAAATCTATTCTAAGACATCAGATTTTAAGGCAAACCTGTCAGATTAAAGTGTCTGTGCAAACAGCTGCTATTTCCACAAGATTCCTTCTTTCACTTTGCATCAAGTCCAGATTCAAAAGCTTTAAAATAATAAAGATTATCTTAAGAAACAATTTAGTCCCTAATTATCCATGCACAAGCATTAACAAAATATGTTTAAAAAATAGGCCAAGTATGTAACTAGCCTTTCTCCGTGAGTACCAGGATTCCACTGTTCTTAAATATGCATATGAGAGGATTGCAATCAGAGAGATTACAGAGATTTTCTTATTACTCATTATGAAATTGCATGTTTCCAACTTTCAATTAAACCCCAGAAATAGAGTCTATTTGTTTAGCAGGAAATAAATGCAGTCATTATAGGATGATGTAAATGTACTTGATTATCTTTTGAGACCTTATAACTGCAAATATTTGTGTGTACTTTTCTGAAATGCCATGTGTCTGCATCCACCTGAGCACAGAGATAGCTGTACGTATTAAAACCGTGTATAAGCATCGACCAGTTAGTTTAAACAACCTGAGAAAATCTGCCTGGGGGCATGGGCCAGCGTGATTACTGAGTCCTAAACAGTGCGTTAATCTGGTACACACTTACC